ATGGTGGTATGGTGGTACACACCTGTAATCCCAGCACTCGGGAGGCTGAGGCAGGAGGATCACTGTGAGTTTGAGAACAGCCTGGGCTACATAGAGAGCTCCAGGTCAATCTCAACTACATAGTGAGACCCTGTCTCGAAAAAACTTGAAAAAAATTTTTTTTGTATGTTTGAAATAATAATAAAGCTCAGGTGCATATCTGTCCACACAGAATCTACTGATTGGTATGGTTGATTTTTACTTTTCTTATTGTATTTGCATGCATTTTCTAAAAATTCCTCCTGGAATGTATATCATCTTATTTATTTATTTATGGTTAAGACAGGGTCTCACTATGCAGTCCAGGCTGGCCTCAAACTCTTGGCGATCCTCTTGTTTCAGCCTCGGGAGTGCTGGGATTACAGGCAAGCGCCACCATTTCCTGCTAGAATGCATGTCATTCTTATCTGAAAAGATGTTAAGGTTTTTTTTCGGGGGTGGGTGGGGATTGAACTCAGGATCTTACACCTGTGAGGCAGGTGCAGCGCCACTGAACTAAATCTCCGGCCCATGACTTTAGGGTTTTGATGAAAGTGATGTTTTATCATAAACAGCCTCACAGGACATGGGCAGGCTGGGTCTGGTTTTGTGTGGTTCTTTGCATTTTTCATTGTCATGCTCTGTGTAGGACTCAGCAGGGGCCAGGCCAGTTCTAGAATGTGGCCTTCTGCTCCTACTGTCTCGTCTGAAAGACCTGGGGGATTCTCCCAGGCGGTCTTTCTGGCCTCCCTGTGCCCCACGCGGACAGGCTGCTGCTGCGATCCCTGCTTTGCCCCAAGGGTCGTCTGCACGTGCTGCTAGCCGGCATCACCAGGCAGCGCAGCCGAGCCCAAGCTCAGAGGTTCCCTGTGCATTCACAGGCCACTGTTTAAATTCTGGTTCCTGCCTGTGCATTTAGCGCATGCATATCTACATCCCCAAATTATGAGAACTTAATAGATTCCTTACACAAGAGAACAAGTACTTCCACCATGTGCAGATACAGGGAGGTGTGCACACGCACACACGAATTCACGGCTGTGAGGCCTGGTGGCCATGCGTGGCCTTCAGCACTGCAAACTGGCTTAGCTGAGGGTAAAAGACTGTACATATGAAGCTTTTGGGGACTTAGCATGAAAATACTATGAAATTCATTAATTTTAACTATACTGATTAATGTGAAAATATTTTGATATATTGTCTTAAGTCAATATATATCATTAAGATTAGTTTCACTACTCCCCCACCCCCCACAGGGTCTTGCTGGCCTGGAAATTGAAACCCTTCCTCCTCAGCCTCCTGTGCAGGTAGGGTTACAGGTATACTTCACTACCCTTTAAGGTAGGTTCTATGGGTCAAACTCAGGCCTTGCAAATGTTAGGTAGCTACACCCCCAGCCCTCCGCTTGCTTATTAAAAAGAGCATTTCTCATAGCGTTTCTTGTTATTAGACACAGCACATTTGTTGCCTACGTTACATTTATATTCGAGTCCCTGGTCTAGAAAGAATGTTAATCATAGCAATCACAGTGCTATCACGTTACCCCCTAGGCTGTAGAGGTTGTGGTATTATTTTATCTGTATTTTCAAGTGTTATACAATAAATCTGTATTACTTGTAAAACAACTATGAGAGTGTAAAAGAAAATCATTTGTAGCCTTTTCTTTTTTCTTTTCGGTACTGGGGATCAAACTCAGGACTTTGCCCTGGAGGCAGGCAGCGGCATCACTGAGCTAAATCCCTGGTCCTCTAGCCTTTTTCAGAAGCAGGTTATTTTGGCGTTTCGCAGAATGCCTATGTCTCAGCATAGCACTGTGGGGCCATGAAGGGACACTAGCCTTCAGGCCATCTGGTCATTCAGCACCAATACAGGGCCATTCCTTGACTTCCTCTAGCATAGTGGACTGCATTTTTAAAATTATTGAGATTGTAGTTGAGTTTCTTCTAGCTTCTCATCCCTCAGGGCTGCTGTCAACCTGGGAATGTTCTGTCGGCTCCTTTGTGTATTCTTGTGTCCTGCAGGGAGCCTTGCACTTACCCTATGTGCAGTTTTTTACAGGGACATATTTCAACTCAAAAGACAGCTTTTTAAAAATTTTATTTATTTATTTTTTGGTACCAGGGATCGAACTCGGGTCCTTGTGTTTGCAAGGCAGGCAGCAGAACCACTGAACTAAATCCCCAGCCCAAAAGACAGCTTTTAAGGGGGATATATTTACTCTGTGCTGCCACTATGGAAATCAGTACAGAGATTTCACAAAAAAATAAAAACAAAGCTACTATAGGTCCCAGAAATACCGCTTCTTGGTGTACACAAGAAGGAATTAGGCAGCATACTATAGGTGTACTGCAGAGCCATATTTATTGCAGCAAAATTCACCAATGTCAAGAAATGGAATTAGCCTAGCTGCCCAACCACAGAAAATGTGGTATATATACACAGTGGGGTATTATTCAGCTTTAAAGAAATAGTAGGTTGTGTCATTTGCAGGAAAATGGATGGAACTGGAGATCATCGTGTTGAACAAAATAAGACCTAGAAAGGCAAGTATCATATCTTTCCCAATATGTGGGATTTTTTTTTTTAAAGGGCATGAAAGTAGAAGGGAAACTTATTATTAGAAAAGAACTATGTGGTGGCACATGCCTGTAACCCCAGCATTCTGGGAGGCTGAGACAGGAGGACTGCAAGTATTATTCCAGTATGGATAGCTTGGTGAGACTCTCTCAAAATAAAAAAATTGAAAGTGTTGGGCCAGGGATTTAGCTCAGTGGCACCGTGCCTGCCTCGGAAGCACAAGGTCCTGAGTTCATTCCCTGTACCCCTCCCCTCCAAAAAAGTGTGATGTAGTTCAGTGTGAAGGCCCTGGGTTCAGAGAGGGAATAAGGTTGGAGGAGAAACGTGAGAGTATTTGGAGGGATGAATCTGCTATGTTATGTGGATAAAAATGTTATAAACATTATGAAAATATCATTGAGGCCTATTATTTTACCTCTTTAAAATTGGTACATTCTTTTTTATTTTTCAAAACCAGGGATCAAACTCAGGAAACTTTTGCTTGCCAGGCAGGCACAGTGCCACTGAGCTGCCTCCCTGCTCCTTTCTAGGTACATTTTAGATGTACATAATGATAATGCTCATCACAGGGAATTTATACCTACATGATATGTCTTGCTCCTGTATTTCCCATTCCCCACCTTGTTTACTAAAGTTTTGCTTCCATTTTTTCTTGTCCTTTGTTTGCTGTCCCTTTTGCCCTCCCTGTTCCTGTCATTGGAGTATTTTTTTCCAATTTTCCAACATGTATCATATATTTTGTTTTTGTTTTTTGTGGTACCAGGGATCAAACTCTGGACCTTGCACTTGTGAGGCAGGTGGTAGCACCATTGAGCTAAATCCCTGGCCCTCTATATTACATTTTGGACCCTATATCCATGTTTGGTTTCTCACATAAGAGAAACAATGTGGTGTTTAAACATGTGTGTCTGATTTATTTCACTTAAGAGTATGTTCTCAAGGGCCGGGGATTTAGCTCAGTGGTTCCGCCGCCTGCCTTGCAAGCACAAGGACCCAAGTTCAATTCCCACTAGCAAAAAAAAAAAAAAAGGTGCATCCATTTAGCTAGAAATGTCTCAAGCTTATCCTTCTTTATGGCAGAGTAGTAATCCATTATATATATAAAAAAATCACATCTTCTTTATCCATTCATCAGTTGATGGGCATTAGGGTTGTGCTCAAGATTTGGCTATTACAAACTATGCCACTATAAACCTAGGTGTGCATATATCGCTTTTAATTCTTTCAGGGGACTAGCTGGGTCAAATGGAACCTCTAGTTTTGGTTTTTTTGAGAAATCGCCACACTGATTTCCACAGTGGTTGCACCAGTCTACATTCCCACCAGCAGTGGAAAAGGGTTCCTTTGAAAACTTTTATTTTGTAAAATTAATAGGCACTAATAAATATATTTTTAAAAGAAAAGGAATATATTTACAAAAGTAGGACAAAAGCCAGGCATGGGTGGTACACACCTATAATCCCAGCACTCTAAGATGTTGAAGCAGGAAGAATCACGAGTTGGAGCCCAGCCTGGGAAATTTAAGTAACTTAACAAGATCCTATCTAAAAATAAAAAAGGAGTGGGGAGTTAGCTCAGTGCAAAGGCCCTGGGTTTAATCCCCAGTACCGCAACAAAACAAAACAAAAGCATGACAGGATCAGGGACACTATGCAAGGAAACCTGGGACAAGATCGCTCCCACACACCTGCATGGTCTGCCTTCCCTGAATGGCCCGATAAATTCCTCAGCCACTCAGTCTCTTTTCTGTTAGTTACCAAGTGTCCATCTCAGAACATGGTAACAAGAATGGAAGACAGAGTAAAAACAATCCCCAAATGGTCCATTTCAGGACACAGGCACATAAAGGGGTGGGAGGCATGAGGGAGGGGCCCATGGGAAGAAGACAGGGTGGAAAGTAGCATTTCTGAGTCCCCCATGGGTCTGGATCATGGAGACTGAGCAATTGAGAGTCGGCACCTACCAAAGTGGGCAGGCGTGGCCCCCTCTGGGATGGAAAAACATGGGAGTGGGCCAGGGAGGCATGCCTTGTACCACAAAACAAAACAAAAATGAGAGGCAGGGGTGCTTCAGCGAACTCAAACTAGGACAGGAACCCTCACGGGGACAAGAGGTGGGGTTTGTGTGTGTGCTATTTTCAGGCCTCAGCTCTTGACCTGTTAGGCACTAAAAGTGCAGGTACACATCTCTTTTTCCAGTCATTCCTCGCTAAGAATGTAAGGAATGTGTACTCCCTCCCTTTATGCCCTAAGCTTTTTCACAAGACTAGGTGCAGTAACTGGGGAGTAAAAACAGCTGCTGATCCATGTCTTACATTAGGAGAAAATCCTGTAAAACATGAAGTCTCAATAAAAAGTTTTTTCCTTCACCTTAAGAAAACTGCAAAAAACAAGTGTAGGCCACTGTGGTATAGAACGGTGACATGAAACTAGAACATTTTGCCAGCTTTTCCGAAAAACGTATTTTTTTGGAGGACAGGAGAGGGTAGTCCGTGTGGTGTCCAGCGACAAACCCAGAGCACCATGGCGCGCCGAGCACTGCAGGGAGCTTCGGGTTGGCTTCTGTAGCCCGCGTGGCGCTGATCTCGGTCCCAAGCAGCACAGAGAACTTTGGGACCCAGGTCAGCTAGGGCCGGGCCAGGACCCTAGCCCTTTTCTCGGGCCCACCCACCGGTCCACGTGGCCACGCCCACTGCCGCCCTGGAAGCGAGGATGGGCCTAGATGGGCCCCGCCCCTCGGTCGCGCCGCGCCCAACACTGTCCACGGGAGAGCTCTCCCCTCTCGGCAGTCCACTCCCTCCAGTACGCAGTCAGCTGTTTCGTTCCCGGTCTCCAGGCCCGTGACAGCCCCTGGTCGCCTCGAGGTAGGTGCCTTGCACTGCGCTAGCAGTGTCCAGACAGATGTCCCACTGGCTCGGGCAGCCCTTATCGCCGCTGGCCTCGGGAACTTCATTTGGATGCACTCGGGCGCTTCTGCAGGCTTTGCTGCAGGGGCGAGACGAACACTCCGGCCGGCCCAGCCCGCAGAGGCGATTGCGCCGTCCAGCGCAATTGGGAGTGCCCCGCGAGGCGCGCTGGGAGTCCCGGCTGCGGTGGCTGCGGTCTGCGCCTGCGCGATGGGCGCCTGCGCGTGCGTGACTTAGTCGGCTCGCTATGCCTCCACTCTTCTTCCGCTGGGGTCTAGCAAGCGACCAAATTCTGGCCGTGCCGGCAAAACTCTTCTCCCGGAGAAAAGCAACCCTTGTCACCCTCCATCCGACACCCCAGGATGGGCAGAGAGCAGTACACCGGATCCCCCTCCAGTACGCTAGGGAACAGAGGTGGGCCTCTGTGCTGCAAGGTGCGAGGTGGAGGAGCGCTCCGCTGGCGGCGCGACGGCGCTGAGCCGGGATGCCTCCGCGACGAGGAGGGGAGGCCGCCTTTTGCGGGGACCCTGGAGACCTGGAGGCGTAGGCCCTGGGGAGGAGGGACTCGTCACACCAACTGCGGCGTGTGGATGTCGCAAGGGTAGGCTGAAAAGGAGCCAGGGCTCCAGGCTGTCTATGGCGTTGCTATGGAAACAGCCAGGGGCGCCACGTGGTTGCGGGAATAGCTGTTGGGTCTCTGCCCAGTTCAGGTTCGGTTTTGTAGTGTCCAAGAGGGACTTTACAACGGGGCAGGCGCCCTGTGAGAGTAGTGGAAACCCTGAAAAATCAGAAAGTAATCTAAAAGTCCTCTTGCAGAGACTGGTTGAGTCAATTGAATCAGTGTGGCCTTTGAAAATGACACAGTGTATCTTTTAAATAAAGGTTATTAGAAGAGTTGTGACAAGTTCACTTGTTGCTATTACAAAATTGCCGTAGATTTGCTGTCTTAGGCCTCTCACCGGAAGTCCAGATAAGTCTTGGGTCAAAATGAAATTGTTGTGGGCTGGGATTTTAGCTCAGAGGCACCGCGCCTACCTCACAAGTGCGAGGTCCTGAGTTCAATCCCCGGTACTAGGCAAAAAATAAAAATAAAGCTCCACTTTAGGGCCTAGGATTTAGCTCAGTGGCACTGCGCCTGCCTTGCAAGTGCGAGGTCCTGAGTTCAATCTCCGGAACAAAAAGAAAAAGAAAAGTAAAAGAAGGTGTTGGTTGGGGCTAGTTCCTTCTGGAGGCTTTAAAGGAGAATCAGCTCCTGCCTTTTACAGTGTCTTATTTTTTGTTTTTGGGACAGGGTTTCTAGTTCAAGCTGGCCTTGAACTCAGTATGTAGCCCAGGCTGGCCGTGGCCATTGTCCTGTTTCAGCCTCCTGAGTGTTGGGATTACCGGCCTGGTGGCACCTTCTTATAAGTACTCTCATGATGACACCATATCCACCTAGACAACTTGGGGGTATTACCTTGTGTCAGCAGCCACCTTGAGGTGGCTGGAGCGCAGGACACACAAAGTGCTTCTCTCCTCACTCACCCCTCCTTCCTCTCTTCTCCTCCTCCTCAGGCTGCCTAGCCTCTGCCAGAAGCCCAGCAGCACCTCATCTTGCGTCAGGGGCGGGGAGGCACTCACTTTTCACAGTTTGTCCTGAGCAGCTTCAGGGGGCTGGCTGTGCACACTCGAGGGTGGGTAGGGTGGGCCCTCTGCCCAGCCACCTGCCTGGCCAGACACTCAGGACCCCACGATGGTGACCCCTACCCCATCTGGAGGCACCCAGCAAGCCAGAGCAATGAGCAAGGGCTGGTCTGGCCAAAATTGTTTTCCCCAAATGGAGTAGCTTTATACCTTAAAACCCAAAATAACTGGTTCACCCTTCCTGTCACCTGACTCCTGAGTCCCCATCTGCACTGTGCTGTCCCCACAGCTATGAAATTAGGCGAGGCCTGAAGTGACCGTGGGAACGTTTTGCCTGCCTATCTACCTGCAGAGCTGACTGTGTCCAGGCTGGGGCTCACCTTCTGCCCTCTTTTCTTTCATGCCAGCATGCAGGAGTCCTGTGTGGGGAAAGTAATTCCCAAGCTGTTAGATGTCAGATATGACAAGTCTGTGTCTTCCCAATACCCAGGAAGGGATTTTGAGGGCTAAGGAGGTTAAGAGTAGGAAGGGTTTACTGAGAGAAAGCTCCTAAGAGACTGGAGGGGTCCTGAAACTGGGTTGCAGCTGAAGTTCTTTATTCAAGGATATTTTATGCAGCAAAATCACAATCTGGGAACAAAATGAGTAGCTATGGGTGAAACCACACTCAACCTGAAGGATTACAAGTATAGCCGCTTAGCTAGCATCGATCAAAAAGGGAAGCAGGGCAGTGAAGCACGGGTACACGGCAAGTGTCACTGACTTTAGCTTATCTCTAACTTGTAACAGAGCAGAGGCATTTCTGGAAAGGGATGAGCATGTGGATTAGGGTGTCCTGGTTGCCACATATGTGTCTGGTGCCCACCTGGACCCACTGGACTAGGTGGTGCTAACTCCAGTAGGATCTTGAGCTGCTGTTTATCTCTGGGCAGGCCTACAGCCCCTGACCATTGTGGCTCCACATTGAGGCCTGGCTCTTTTCAGATGCACCAGCAGCCACAGTCTTGGTGTTACTGTTTTGGACATCCTCTCTGGCTGCCTGTAAATTTCCATCTCATTGAGCTGTGTATGCTAGTTCCACCTTGTTTAAGGTCTGTGAGGGATGAGGCCTAGCTAGAGCTGTGCTCGACATACAGTAGGTGCTCAGTGAGTTGTTGGATGGAGGATGCACGTGCATGCTGGAGCAGGGCTGGGTCCCTAGGAGGTGACCTCTCTCCAGGTTCTCCATGGCCCCGGCAAGCTTGCTCTATGTTTTTTTTTTTTTTTTTGGTACCAGGGATTGAACTTGGGACCTTGTGCTTGCGAAGCAGGTGGCGGAACCATTGAGCTAAATCCCGGCCCCATGTTGTACATGCATAAGAAACGTAACAGTGTCCTTTTGCTGATCTCTCCCTGCCAGTCATAGTGTGTTAGAAATTATTTAACCATTTCCTCACTGGTAGACATTTAGACCGTGTCTGGGTTTGGATAATTGCAGAATGTTGTGCAAACACATTGTGATCCTTGTCCTGAGCCTGTGTGTGAATGTACCTTTTGAATGGCAGGTGGGAATGTGTGCTGTTTCACACTAGCCAAATTACTCTCCGAGAAGCCTCATGGTCATACCTATTCCAAAGCAGCCAGCAAATACTTCACAGTCATTTCCGTGGTTTTGGTCTGGCAGCAAAAGGCTGTCTGGGCCTTGTTACTTGTGTTCTGGAGAATTCCCGGAGTTTGCCCCAGGGTGGCAGGCAGGAGGGGCTCCAGCAGGTGAAGTGAAGGGGAGCCCAGCTGGCCAAAGTGAGACTGATGGCTCGTGGCAGCTGGGCCTCCCTACTCTGGAGCCCCCAACCCAGGTGGAAAGGACAGCAGTGGCTTGGACCTTGGTTGGCGGGCATCATGTGAGCAGCTGGTAATGGCCAAGGGCGCCGGGCTGGCCTGGCATGTTTTTCTCAGGTCCCTTTCTGGCTCTCTTAATACATGGCGAAGCGTCTGGACAAGGTTCGAAGGGATCTGAAAAGGTGGAGGTGGGCTGCCGGGGGCCCCCTGTGCATGGCCTGTTTCTTCTCAGGGTGACCCTATGGCACCCTGTTCCCTCCAAGGATCTGAGGTCTGGCTGCCCGGCTGCCCCTCTGTTGAGCCCTGCAGTTGTGGGCGGGCAGACGCACCCCTCCCCAGTGGGTCACCAGCAGCCTGTCCTCAGCCTGGGAAGGCTCCTTCTGACCCCAGGCTGGCCATGCCTGTGGGCCTCCTGAACATAGAGGAAGGTAGATGCTGTGTTTTGGGGATCAGTACAGGTTTTCATGGGATTTCCAAAATAAGTGAGTCACAGAGGTTGAGAAGCCACCCTGATATCCCTAGGAAATACATTGGGATTCAGCTGTCATGCCTGTTCCCCACACATCCCCATCCTGTGATCTTCATTGCAGGAGAGCTGGACAACCGAGCTCTGTGTCCTGGGGGGACTGACGCCAGGGTGTTCCCTTTCAGTGTAGCCTACACTGGGGAGGGGAGTGCTGCAGCTGGAGGTCCTCAGGTGGCTCCTCCAGCCACCGAGGGCCTTTACTTGGCCCCCAGCTGGCCAGGCAGGGCTGGTTTTGCTCACTTCCTCTGCCCAGGGCCAGGCATGAGTCTTGGTTCCTTCATCCATGAGGTGGCGCTGTGACCACCACGAGTTTCTCTGCTCTTGCTTCAGTTTCCCCTGGACTGTGTCCTCCTGCTTGGCACAAAGGGGCCTTGTCCCTGCTGGGCGGCCTGAGCCAGACCTGGGAAGGAGGCCCCTTCAGTAAGGCTGTGCCAGCCAAGGCTGGCCACCAACAGGAGTGAGCCATTTTCAGGAGCTGCCCAGGGATGTGTCAGCCTGTTGCACAACCTCTGTAGAGGTCAGCCACCCATCACTTGTGGGAGAGAAATGTGCTGGGCCTTCTGTGGCTCTTGAAAGGCACCCAGCTGCTGCCCCACCCAGAGCTAATGGCATGCGCACTTCTTCCAGGGTGCCTTTCGGTCTGGCTGTGTGCTACTTCCAGCTGGTCTGCTTGGCAGATGCTCAGGAAATGTGTGGGGCTGTGTGTGGGTGTCTGTTCCCCAGGCGTGACTTCCCTTTTCCCCAGGGCAAGTATGTGCTGTGCTCCTGGTCTCAGGACCTCAGCAGCCACTATCCATAATAGTGGCTACCTTGTTTATTCAGGCTCTGTGCCTTCCCTGTCAGGTTTCAGGGCCTGGGACCTGAGCCTGTCCCGGCCTGGCCAGCACAGGGCTTGTTCCCAGCCTAGCTGACAGCTTGCCACACCCCTGGACTGGGCCTGGGCAGCCCAACACTGGGAAGACAGGGAGTGCTCAGTTCCCAGAGGAGTTATGTAAGGAGGCATCTGAGGGCCCTGGATTTGGGGGTCCTGGGAGAGTGGGGCTGTGATGCTGCCTGCCAGTCTAGCCTGTGCTCAGCACAGGATGGGTTGGGTGGACAGCAGTGGCTTTTACAGCCAGCCTGGGCTTCCTGTTGGGGTTCCCTGGCCACCCATATTCCCATCCTTGCTCAAGTAGACAAGAGGCGGGGACTCCCCAGGCCAGACCTGCTGATCCGCTGTCTCTCAGACAGTGTGGCTGGAGGCCTCTGTGCCCCACATCTGTGTTGCCCAAGCTTTGCTGCCTGTGGCGGAGCCTGTGGGTGCAGCACCCCTCATCAGCTCCTAGAGACCAAGTGGCCAGGCTCAGGAAAGGAGGCAGAACAGGTCCTTCCTTTCTAGGAGAGGCTGGGCCCTTCCCACACAGTGCCCCTTGTCCTGTGTGGCATCCAAATATGTGGCCTACCGAGCTGTGAGAGTTTGATAAGAGCTCTGTTCCCTCTGCCTCCTGCCCAGACGACACCGTGTACTCACCATGAGTCTTGACATCCGCTGCGAGCAGCTGAATGATGCGAGGTGGATAGAGCTTCTGCCTTTGATCCAGCAGCACCAAGTGGTCAGGTATGGGCAGCTGGGTCATTATGAGGGGTTGGGCACAGATTTGAGGGGGCTCACTGAACTGCAGAAACTCAGTGTTCATGGCACATGGTGTGAAGTGTTATTCTTATGTGTTGTTTTTAACCTTTAAAAAACTTAAAAATCATTGGAGCCGGGCATGGTGGTACATATGTTTATCCTAGCATGCTGGAGGCTGAGGCAGGAGGATTGCCATGAGTTTGAGGCCAGCCTGAATTACATAGTGAGACCATCTTAAAAAACATAAAAACTACTGGGGATGTAGTTCAGGGGCAGAGCACCTGACTGGCATGCATGCACATGTGGGTTCCATCCCTGCAAAGTCACGTTTATGTAGATGTGCATATGTTTGTTTGTGTGTGTACATGTTTATATGAGTACATCTATAGATCCATGTTTATGTGCATGTGTATGTATATATACACGCATGTCTGTACATACATATTGATATGTGTACATGGACATGTCTGTGCACTCATGTGCACCCGTATTTGTGTTCATGCACAGTTGCTGCTAGTTTCAGCCTCCTCGGTGGCTCTGTCTGAAGTCATTGTAGCAGGGCATTTTGTTATTCCTTCATTGCCTCTACTTTATCAACCATCTTCTGTGATAAGAGATGGCTTTCTTCCCACCCGTTGGTTCACATGTTCATGTTCATGCGTGGACTTGAGGTACAGCCCCCCTGCCCACTGGGAACTGTCAGCTCATGTGTGCCCTAGAGCTGCTGTCACTCTGAGCGCAGCCTCGTGGTCATCACCTGGCACAGGTTTGCCCCTCCTACAGACACACAGGAACTGTGTGTTCCACAAAAGCCTAGAGAACATGACAACCCCACACGTGTCCATTCCTGCTCTCTTCTGTGTTGTATTTTAAGTGTCATCATTAGAGATCACCCTTCGATCTACAGGCTGACGGGTCTCAGCCTGAGGTGTGAGAGGGTCACTGGGACCGAGACCAGTGCTGTCCCACCGTGACCCTGAGGGTCTGTCCCCAGGCTGGAGGACTGTGGTCTCACAGAGGGACGGTGCAAAGACATCAGCACTGCGCTGCGGGCCAACTCGGCCCTGACAGAGCTCAGCTTGCGCACCAATGAGCTGGGGGACGCCGGTGTGTGCCTGGTGCTGCAAGGCCTGCAGAGCTCCACATGCAAGGTCCAGAATCTCAGGTGAGGCCTGGTGCAGGCTTCTGGGCAGCCAGGCGGGGGCATGAGACCTTCCAGGGGCAGCTGCAGGGTGTGGATGGCATTCACAGGCATTCCCTTGTTCCAGCCAGAGGCACACAGGTAAGGTGGCCTCTGTGTGGCCCTTGTCGCGGGCTGTTCCCACCCAAGGAAGGGTCTGGCTCACGGCTCCTGTGCCCTCTTACTTCATCCTGGAGACATGGGGTGCTGTCAGAAGAGTGTGGATACCATCTTCTGCAGGGTACTTCTTGGGGCTCTGGTGGGTGTGGGGGCCACTAAAAACCTCCTTCTTCAGCCTGCAGAACTGTGGCCTGTCGGAGACTGGCTGCCATGTGCTGGCCAGTGTGTTGCGCTGTACTCCCACCCTGCGAGAGCTGCATCTCAGCGACAACCCCCTGGGAGATACAGGCCTGAGGCTGCTCTCCGAGGGACTCCTGGACCCCCAGAGCTGCCTGGAGAAGCTGGAGTGAGTGTCTCAAGGGGGTTCTGGCCTCCCTCCAGCCCCACCTGGCCCCAAGCTGGGTACATGTACAGCCTCAGCACGGTGGCCCCCAGAGCTGATGGGCAGGCAGGGCCCCAGGGGCCTTTAGGTGTTCTGCCTCAGGGTTCTGAGTGTCCCCTTGGCAAGGGGCTGGCCACTTGCTGGACATGACATGAGAACAGCTACACCTAGTATGATTTGGGGGTCACCAGGATGACAGCGTAACGCAGAGGGCCTGCCCACGGGGCCATTTCCTTTCTGCTGGGTCCTGGGAGTCCCAGGGTGTTAGTTGAATTCGCAGGGTGTTTCCTGAAGGAATGCCCAGCATGTCTGGAGGCTCTGGGCACTCATGGTCCTGACATGAGGTCCTGGCCCCAGGATGGAGTGGGTAGGAGGTTTTGGAGGGTTGGGAGAGGAGACAGACAGCAGCAGACCTTGCACCTCCCTGATTCCATGGGGCCCATGGGGTGCCCTGAGACCCTGCCCACCCCCAGGCTGGAGTCCTGCAACCTCTCGGCTGCTAGCTGTGAGCCTCTGGCCGCTATACTGAGGGCCAAACCCAACTTCAAGGAGTTGGTGTTGAGCAACAATTGCATCCAGGAGGCTGGCATCCGTGTGCTCTGCGGGGGCCTGAAGGACTCTACCTGTCTGCTAGAGATGCTCAGGTATGCATTGGGCCTTAAGGATGGAGGGGTGGAGCTGGGGGATCAGGGCTCCCCTCAGGTATGGTGTCTGTCCCCAGGCTAGATAACTGTGGTGTCACATCAGCCAACTGCAAAGATCTAGGTGATGTTGTAGCTGCCAAGCCCTCCCTGCAGGAGCTGGACCTGGGCGGCAACAGGCTGGGTGATGTGGGCATCGTAGCACTGTGCCCAGGGCTGCTGCACCCCAACTCCAGGCTCAGGAAGCTGTGGTGAGTTGGCACCCTAACAAGGGCGGGTGGCAGCTGTGTCCCTGTCTTGTCTTGGACCTCACAGAACATCGATGTCCTACAGGCTCTGGGAGTGTGACATCACTGCTGAGGGCTGCAGGGACCTGTGCCAGGTTCTCAGGGCCAAGCAGAGCCTGAAGGCGCTCAGCCTAATGCTCAACGAGCTGGGGAACGAGGGTGCCCGGCTGCTATGTGAGGCCTTGCAGGAGCCCAGCTGCCAGCTGGAGTGTCTGTGGTGAGAGTGAGGGCAAGCCCTTTGCCAGGACAGTGGTACCCACACAGGGTGCCAAGGGGACCTTAGTGCAGTGTGGAGAGAAGCTAGGGGCCCACGAGGGGGCGCCTGGTGGGGACTGGGAAAGAGGGTGAGTCCCAAAGACAGGGTCTGGGGGAGAGGGCAGTTGCAGTCCAGGCCAGCCAGGCCCTGCCGTGTCTGTCCTGCAGGGTGAGGGTCTGCAGCCTCACAGACACCTGCTGCCCCCACTTTCGCGTGATGCTGGCACAGAACAAGTTTCTCACGGAGCTACAGTTGGGTGAGAACAAGTTGGGTGACACCGGCGTGCAGGAGCTCTGTGAGGGCCTAGGCCAGCCGGGTTCTGTGCTGCGGGTGCTCGGGTGAGTGCGTGCATGCAGGTCCCAGCTCACAGACCCTGAGGTCTTCAGGGTCAGCCTGGCAGCTTTGGGTGGCGGGGTGGATGATGCCAGAGCCCCTGCCACCATCCCCATCAGAACCCTGGGATTGTGACTTTTGACCCACCCATTTTGCTGAGCACATTCTAGCAGATTTCCAAGAGGGTTTCTGCAGCACTGTGTCCTATGCTGCCCTGGCCACTTAGTGCTGCTCTTTAGCTCCCAGGGAGGGCTCTGTTGTCCTTGATATATGCCCTTTCCCTGGCAGCCTTTACAGATCTGACTTTGTGTTCTGGGACTTGGTGTGTCTCACCTTGGTGTGGGTCTTGGTCCTGAGGATTGTGCTCTTATGTCTTGTTTCTTTTTTTTCGAGGGCCCAGGAGTCTTCCCTTGGGTCTCAGGGGCTGGCCCTCTAGCATCTTGTCCCTATTTTTTTCTTCTCCTAGTTTTTATTTTTGGAGATTTCTCATTTTCCAGCCAGTTTACGGAGCCTTTCCTTTCTGCTTTCCAGTGTTTGTTATCTGGTTTCCAGTCTGTCTCCTGGGGATGGCTTTCCTTGATCCTGGCATCCTGGGCAGTGGGAGGGGTTGGACTGGGCAGCCTGGACTACACCCTTGCAGTCTCCTGCCCAGGGGTCACAGTCCTGGCTGCTAAAGCTGTGGGACCTTTGGAGCCAGGTGGAAAAGCAGCAGATGGCCAGCCACCACTGCTCACGAGGAAGGGATCCTGCAGCTGCCCACCTCCATCTTGAGACAGCTGGTGTGGCTCTGTACCATCTAGTGCCAGGGCTGCCTTGGGCCTGCCCTAGTGAGAATGGGTGCTGTGTCTGCCCACCACCCTTCCTCTGGAGTTTGCCCTGCCCCCTCCCATCTCCCCTGGACTGGAGAACAGTCCCCCCGGTCTTAACTTGCCACATGTGGGCATATTTCAGTTTTTGGGCATCATGGGTGTCAGCTTTACCATCACAGTGTGGTGGCAGCACAGGGCAATCCATCTGCTGGTCTTGTCCTGACTCCTCCTGCTCACTGCACAGGCTAGGGGACTGTGACTTGACTGACAATAGCTGCAGCAACCTGGCCTCAGTCCTGTTGGCCAGCTGCAGCCTGCGGGAGCTGGACCTCAGCAACAATGGCCTGGGGGACCCAGGCGTCTTGCAGCTGGTGGAGAGCCTCCGGCAGCCCGGCTGCATACTGGAGTGCCTGCTGTGAGTGATGCTGGCATTGGGGGCGAGTGTGGGGGACCTGAGGGCACTGGCAGGTGTGGAAATGCCCATTCCCTCCTGCTTGCAGCCTCTTCGATGTCTACCTGAGTGATGGGGTGAATGACCAGCTGCAGGCTCTGGAGGAGGAGAAGCCGTCCCTGAGGATCATCTCTTGAGGCCCCCCTTTTGCAGGCACCCAGAATCTGTTCCCTGGACATCAAGTCTGGTCCATACCACTAACCAGCTCCCTGGGGCCTCCTCCATGGATGTTCTGGCAGTGATTGGATAGATATACTGTGCAATCTACTTTTTATGATTATTAAAGGGCTTTGTTGTCAGATAGGGTCCTGTCTTTCCTTGTGGTCCCTGGGCAGCTCTGTGTGCACCCTCTGGCTTAACAGATCAGTAGTGCATCAGCTTGCAGCACCACGTCGTCCTGCTGAGACCAGTTCAAGTCCCCATGGATGTGGCTCCCACAAGGACTGTGAGCTCCTGGGGCTGCCACAGCCCACGGGTAGCAAGACAGGTCTTCCAGTGACCTGTCACCTTTGCCACATGTCTCTAGACAGGAAGCATATGTCCTGCCCACTCTGGGCAGTGCCCAGCGTAATTCTGAAGGACAGTTCCATACACTGAAATCTAAGAGGGCTGGAATCAAGGCCCAGGGTTCCACCTGTCACGCTCACACACAATCTCAATCCCAACATTCACCATCTCTAAAGATAAAACCTCCAGTGTTGAAATCCTGAAATCTGAAACCTCCAAAGTAGCATTCTCTGAAAAGGAAGGCTGAGGGAAGGATAGAATGCAAAATTCTAGACTGTGGGTGTCCAAACTTTTGGCTTACCAGGGTCACACTGAGTGAAGAGGAACTTTTCTTGGGCAACATAGAAAATACACAATACAGTTAATATATAGGAGTAACAAAATTTCCTTTATTCTTTTTTGTTTTTGTTTTTTTGGATTTTTGAAACAGGGTTTCACTGTGTAGTGGAGACTGACCTGGAACTCACTATGTAGCCCAGACTGGTCTCGAAGTCACAGCGATCCTCCTGCCTCAGCCTCCCGAGTGAAGAGATTACAGGTGTGTGCCACCATGCCCGGCTCTATTTTGTCTTTTTTGGAACATAGGGTCTAGCTATGTAGTTTGGGCTGGCCTTGAACTCACTATGTAGTCCAGGCAGGCCTTGAAGTCATGGCAGTCCTGCCTCAGCCTCCTAAATACTGGGATTACAGGTGTGCGGCACCATGCCTGGCTAACTTTATTCTGAAATACTTTTACTGAAGTATTTTAAAAAGAGGGTGATACAAGAATAGAGGTTAGACACCATCTAAAGATTCTGGTGATGTGACAGGGCAACCATGTAGACTTCAATTTGGGCTGGGGATTTAACTCAGTGGCACTGTGCCTGCCTCACAAGTGCAAGGTCCTGAGTTTGATCCCAGGTACTGCAAACAAAAAGCCAAAGACTTCAGTTTTAAAACATTATCTCATAGTTGCAAGCAGAAGACTGAAAGTAGATTCCCATCTCTCCCTGGTCATAAACAACTCAAAATGAATTAAAAGCCTAAACGTAAGACCTGAAGCCATGGAACTGCTAGAAGAAAGCAGGAGAAATGCTTCAAGACACTGGAATGTGCTACTCTTTTTTGGATATGACCAAAAGAAACAAAAGCAAAAATGGACAAATAGGATTACACCAAACTAAAAAGCTGCACAGTAAAGGAAACAACCAGGGTGAAGATACAACTAGGGAATGGGAGAACACTTGCAAGCTATGCACCTGACCTGGATTATACTCAGAATATTAAGGGACTCAAAAAAAGCTCTACAGCTGGGGATGCAGCTCAGTGGTACCACACTTGCCTGGCAAGCGCAAGGTCTTGCGTTTGATTCCTGGTACTGGAAGAAAAAACAAGCAAACGATAGGACAGATATTTTAAAAAGGGGCCAGGGATTTAGCTCAGAGGCAGTGTGAGGTCCTGAGTTCCATCCCTAGTACCTCACAAATGGCAAACAGGTGTATGAAGTGTTCAATGTCACTGCAGTTCAAAACAGGTGTCACCTCACTGCAGCAAGAACCATTATCCAAAAGACAAAAGATAATGTGTATGAGCCAGAGTATGGAGAATATTCACTGTTCGTGGGAATATAAATTAGTGCAGGCATTTTGAAAACTGGTATGATAGATATTCCTCAGAACAGTATAAACATGTAACATATGGCCCAGCAATCCCATACTGGGTATATATCCAGAAGAAATAAATTATGTTGAAGCGAGAGCTGTACTCTGTTTATAGCCAAGAAATGGAAACAAGCTGTCCATCAACTGACAAATGGGAAAGCAAAAGCGACACACACACAGTAAGGCATGTTACTCAATCACCAAAATGAAATTCAGTGGAATGAACTGGTCTCCCTTGTGGAACCTAGAACAACTGATCTCAAAATTGGGAGGGGAACGGTGGTTCCCACAGACTGGGAGCATGGGGTGAGGGTAGAGCTTGGCAGATAGATAAGCTGTAGTTGCTGCTGCACAGCAGGGTGACTATGGATGATAGTGTACTCACAACTCCCAGCTAGAGGACAGGTTTGTGAGTCCTCTCACCACAGAGAAATGAACAGAGATGAGCCTGCCCTGACTGGAACATTATGCATTGTATATGTGTGTCCAAACATTGTTCATGGTTACCATAAATACTTGTTTTTGTCAATTAAAAATATTTCTTGAACTCAAATCATTTGTCCACATTGGCAACCCTCTTAGCTGATGCAGTTCTAGCTCTTAACTGAATCAAAGCTGCATTTGCCTGAAGCGGACAGTGAAGTTACTGGTTCAAAAAGAATCGGAGAACCCTTGCTCAGCGGGAAGAGACACACGATGTTGCTGCCCCATTGCCTATCGTGCCCCGCCCAGGCTGCTTGTGCTGAATGCACTGTGGGACCATTCTCCCATACTCGGGACAACAGAGTGGCTCAGAGGATGAGAATGCTTCGGCTGTGTACATCAGACTGGAGAGTGATTAGGAAGAGAGCAGCACTATGTAGAAAGTGGAGGTGACCCTCTCTCCGAGGACAGCCCTGCCCTAAAGAAAAACAGCTCTTCATCAACACGGCTTCACATGCAGCAAAGGACTGAGTCAGCAGCCCCAAGGACCATCTCTGCACCACTCCTGGTCCTCCTTGAAATACATTTTCTTTTACATTGGACTCAATTTTCCCTACTAAATGACCAGCATTATTTTCACAATTTGCTATGATATATATTTCATTGTTGCATAATTTACAACAGCACAGGTATAAATCATGTATTTGATTCGATAAAAATGCATTACCACAATGCTGATTCTGAAAATGTTATTCTAACACAGCTGGGCATGGCGGTGCACATCTGTAATCTCAACATTCATGAGGCTGAGGCTGGAGGATTGCTGTGAGCTCAAGGCCAGCCTGGGTTACATGTAAGTTCAGGAGCAGCCTGAACAAGAAAACACAGCCAGACATAGTGGCGCATGCCTGCAATCCCAGGACTTGGGAGGTAGAGGCAGGAAGATTGCTATGACTTCAAGGCCAGCCTGGGCTACATAATGAGTTCGAGCCCAGCCTGAAATACACGTGAGACTGTCTTAA